TCTTTGCTTCCCAGCGGCTCTCCAGTACAATAACGTTAAAGCACGGTGCTGCGTACACTAGGGACTGTGGGGGCAGCAATGTGTCGGTGCAGGTTCATCAACGCAACACTTGTACCTCCTGGAGGAGTTAGTAACAGGAGAAGAGCAGGAGCGGGGCCAGTGGGCACAAGAGTACTCTACCCCTTGCTGTGAAGCTAACACTGCTCTAAAAAAAATCTGTTTAAGAAAAAAAAAGGCGTGCTTCAGCTGCAGGGTGCCACTTTCAGCAGCTGACACGAGGTGTGTCCGGGAAAGGAATGGAGAGTTTGATTTCTGCCTCCCATGTACCTGGCTGCTGCAAAAGTAAAAGGGAGATGCCAGCAGCACACAAGTCTTCAGAAAGCCCCTCACCCTGGGGCACCATGAGAAGGAGAGCTCCGAATTCCTATCAGCTGCTGGCATGAGGGTTTCAAAACAAAGACTCTGTTTTGAAAGGTTTGAATTGTTGCCTTCAGCTACCAGCACCATTTAATGTCATTCTTCTAATCAGATTCTCTGGTTTTGGCTGGGGACTAAGCTGTGCTTCCTAAGCAGTGGGGACAGAGGGAGGCTGAGTGAAGGAGGCTGCGCCGTGAGGTCGCAAAAGAGCCTTGCCAGGCAGCCAGCTGGGGCCTAATCCCCAACCCACACCTGCCAAACCCTCGGCTGGGCGTTAGGGGGATTAGGACTGGGAGGAGGTGTCCACGTGTGGTGAGCAGGCAGGCATGCAGGCAAGGGGCTGCCTGGAGTTGGCAGGTGCACACAGACTGCGTGCCAGGCGTGTGGCTGAAGGGAGGCGAGGTGACGAGCCCCCACCGCTCCACTAACACACATACAGAGTCCCCCTGGTCAGGGCCTAGGACCCATCCCTCTCTGTTCATGGCCTCATCCAAATGACGAATCTATGGCAAGTAATAACCTCCCCCTGTCGGCTTGTCAGCAGGGAAGAATGACGGGAAAATAAGACGCTGGCACTGAGGTGATTCTCTCTCTTTTGTGCCCGGCTCCAAGTCAGGAAGTGAGACTCATCTAGTGTTCGGTTCTGAAAAATAAATCAAGGCACTGCCTTGCACCCTACAAAATGCTTCCTTGAACGGCAAATAACCAGCTGAAAGAGGACTTTGTCCTAGCGAGGCATCATAATGTGCTAAAACCTGGAGGGATTAGCTTGAGCCAAATAAAGATATGGAGCTTCTGTAGGTACTGGATATTGCTCTCCATATACACTGTCACCCCAAACTGAACTCCATTCTGGGTCTATTAATCACAGGCTTTGTACATGTCACTGCTGGCAGGGCTCACAGGCCCCAAGGATAAAAGCGAGGCCAGAAGAGAAGTGTGATTCCCCAGTGGGAATACAGGAGGGAGACTAGTGAGAGAAGTCACATTTCAGCTCCAAAGCTAGAAGTGCAATGGTGTGTTAACAGGGTCAGCAACCCGTGTGTAATGGGACGACGACAATGGTGCCAGACCAAACACCATGGCTTGGATGACTGCGGACAGCTTCTTCCTGGGCGAGTATACAAGGATGTAATAACTCAATCACCCGTTACGGAGCATTTCAAAAATCTGGGATGTTCCTTGGCTTTGCCCATGGGGATGCTGAGGCTGTCGTGAAACATTCCATTTCTAAGGAGACGAAATGCACGCATGCAATAAAGCTGCGCTCAGATACCCATGTTCTGTTCCCCACATCACCAGGGGACTCAGAACACAAGTGGGGACATGAATTCGATTCTGAGCATTCCCAAGGCGGTGCCGGGGGTGGCAGAACCCTTGCGTGGCTTCCTCATTTGGCAGCAGCAGTGGAGTTCTGGGGTTGAGAGACAGAAATCAAACTCTCCTTGCAGGGTGCAGCCCATCAGGGTTCCTGACTTGGGAGAATGCTCAAGAGGGTGTCAAGATCCCAATCACCATGTCCTCTGTCAACCTGCTTCACCCTGCCTTAAGTGAAGGCAGTTCCTGAAGAACTGGAAAACGTCAGGGGAGACATTCCACACGCCTTCTGTGTAGCATAGACCGAGCACCCCACAGACTGAGTTGGGAGGGCGCTGGACAAGCCTCTGGACCATCTACGCGGAACCAACAGGATGAGCGCCATGCTCAAGGTCACACAGCAAGTGTGTGCAGCACAGCCTAAGGCACCACCCCCTGCACCCCGCTGAAAGTGGTGACACTCTGACCAAGCGTCTCAGGCTGAAAACCTCTGGGAGATCTACTTTTTACTGTTATTACATTGGTTCCTGTTCATTCAAGATAGATTATTCCCACCCCCCCCCCAAAAAAAACAAGCACTGCAACATAATTATAAATGGTGAGAGGCTCCTGCTATGCAGACCTGTCACCGCTGGTCACCGGCTTCCAGAGAGGGATGGCAGTACCACCTGCAAGCAGGATAAAACCTTCAGGGAGGCACTGCGGGGAGCAAGGGAAACTTGAAGGGCCAGAAGGAGACGTGAAAAAACTTCATCAGCTCAATCCTCTCTCTAAAAAGCTGCAACCCTCTCTGATCCACACCCCACAATTTATTTCAATTTTCCTTTCATTATATATACAAAAGCACACACCTAATTCATCTCTCCTTCTGGAAAGTTCAGAGGATCTCCCTTCCAACCCCATCCTATCCTACCTGTTCTTTCACTGCAGAAGAAAAATAAAGATGTTTGGATTGAAAAGACATCCCAAGGAAATGCAAGGTCATAACCTGAAATGGGGGCAAATCAGGAAAGCTGGGGTCCTTGGAGTAAAGTCTGAAGCTGGCTCACCATGCCATCCCAACAAGGCATCGAGCAGCACTGTGGCAAGCCCCACTGAGGAGCACCCCCCCACCCCCCCCGAGAAGCCGGTCTCTCAGCAGACACTCTCCCCTTTGTCAGGGATATGTCCATGGCTTCCTGCAGGTGTTCCTTTAAGCCATCCTTGAATCTCTCTGCCCATCAGGCAATTCTGCCAAGGCCCTGGCTTGTTCTGCCTCCTGAGGTTTAAAGTCACCTGCTGCAGTCTAGCCCATGCCTTTCTTTCCCTGGAGTTAAGGTGACACAAAGCAGCACTCACTCTGCCTGCTGCTTCTTCTGAAGGGCCCAAAGGAGTCCGCCCTAGACAGACTGGGTGTCTGCCACTGGCCCCAAGGGGACGGTTACCAGCAGAGGGAAGCACAGTATCAGGAAGGAAGAAGGCAGGTGGCTCCCAGGCTCCCACACTTCAAGGACAGCTCTTCTCCTTTCAGCTTCTCCACCAAAAATCTTTTCTCCAGCTTCAAAAGCGATACCCCAGAGAGTTCGGGTTTTATTCTGAAGACAATCGGAATCACTGCACGAGCAAAAACCTGGCGCTGCCGTCACTTCCAGCTCGGCAGCCCCGGTGTGTTGTCTGGGAAAGATGGGCCAGACACTCCAGAGTGCAAGCAACCAAGCTAGGGCAGAGGGGGAGACTTGGGAATCAAGTGAAGCTCACCACCAGGCAGCCCGCTATCAGTGCACCACCAGGTTGCCTGCACAGGGAGTGGAGAGGCTGGGTTAACTGACAGCTCTTCCAGCGCCTCTCACCTTGTGATGAGAATCAAGTTGCCCAAGCCTTTTAAAATCGCCACTAAAACTGAATCCCCACTTATAAATGACCATTTGGATCAAGCCTCTTTAAAGCATAAATTTATCAACTGGGAACTGCAGACCTTTTAGGGCCAAGGCTAATGGACTTCTTTATAAATATCTGGAATGCTAGATAAAAGGAAAAGATTGATGGGGCTGGGAGGAGGTGGCAGCATGGAATCCCACAAAGAGCTCTGCCCGCTGTGCGCGGGGAACAGTATCCATCAGCTGGCCTTTTTCCAGGAGCTGCAAGGAAGTGTCCAAAAGCCTCAGGACTCAACAACACCCCACCCATCCCAGTCCCACAAAGGGCTGGACAAGCCTAAAAAAGGAAGTCAGGTGGTGTCCCAGCTGAATCAGTAGGAAGCTGGCGTGACCCACCTGGCCACAGGTCAACAGAGAGAACACAGGAAGTGGCCCCGAGGCTCTGCAGCCCAGCAGCTCACAGGCCTTTGGCTGGAGTTCAACACACCTGTGCTGGAGAAGACCGAGCAGCGTGGAGGGGCAGGTGCAGAGGGGATGGGGGGGACCTTCCTCTGCCTCAAAGCATGTGATGCTCCTTTCCCCTGCAAACTTCTCACTTCTTGTACACAAATGGGTTGGGGTGCTCAATCCTGCAAAGGGATCCCGAATCCATCCCAAACACCATCCACTCTATACCCCACCTAGTTGTCCAGAGGGCTGGGTTGTGACATCAGTGTGCGGGCACGTGTGCTCTCTCACCAACACACACACACACTCCTTTAAACAGCACAACTGAGTCCCTGCAATCTCACTCCCAAGAGGTTATTTTTCTCAATTAACAGACAAGCACACAAATACTCCCACGGGGCTGGAGGGTTTATTTCCAACTTGCAGGCAGGGGCATCACAATTTCAAGCACGGTTAGGGATCTCGCAGTTGCTCCAGAGCTTCTAAGCAGCCATGTGAAAAAGTGCTCTGGGACAGATACCCACAGGCTCTGGTTCCTCACAGCAGGGCCAAGCCAGAGCCTGGGGTCACCCATAAAAAAGCTAACAAAACTTTCTCTCTAGGAGCCAAACCTGCAGGAGGATGAGAATAACAATGGGCAAGCAGGTGAGACCACCTGCTGATTGACTGCACACCAGGCAGAGACCAGCCGTTAATGCTCACTGAAATCCAAGGTGGAGCGGCAGCCCATAATTCTGCTCCACAAAAGCAAGGCGTGTGTGCCCGTTTGCCTCGCTAGTGCGCGCATTTCCCTAGCGCTGGGCAGCTGCCTGCTCCGTAAACTAAGATGCTCCTGCACACAAGAAAAAACGGAGCCCAGAAAGGTCAAGTGGTTTATCTGAAGACACACAGCAGGAAGCTACAGAGCCCCCACCGCTCTGCCCACACTCCGCCCTGCACTCCTTCGCCAAACCGCAGCCTCACCTTAACTGCCTCCGCATGGGTTACTCGGGCCAGGGATTTATCGTTGACGCGCAGAATCTGATCTCCAACGCGCAGCCCTTCTTTCTCAGCGAGGGAGCCCGGCTCCACCAGCGACACATAGATGCCCACGCCGTGTTCCGAGCCGCCGCGGATGCTGAAACCCAAGCCCTCGTGCGCCTTGGCGCGCCGCAGGCTCACCAGGCGCACCTCCCCAGGCCCCGCGCCGTCGGGGCCGGCCCAGGCGGGCTGCCTGTAGGGGGTGGTGGCGGGCAGATAGAGGCCCTCGGCCGTGTACTGGTCGAACAGCAGCTGGTCGGAGCGCGGGATGACCAGGCGCAGCATGGGCAGCAGGCGCCGCTTGACCGGGCTGTCCAGCAGCACGCGCAGGGTGCGCACCAGGTCGAAGACGTTGCGGCGCGCGTGGTAGGCGTTCAAGCAGTGTGTGAACTGCTCCCGCTCCGCCTCGTTCAGCAGCGCCGTCAGTGCCTGGTGCAGCTGGCGCACGTTGGCAGACAGTAGCCGCAGCCCCGCGCCCCCGCCGCCGCCCGCCCCGGCCGCCGAGCCCAGCGAGCCGGTGGAAGACGAGCTCACCGACAGGCCGTCCAGCGGCGCGTTCATCTCCCCGCCGGGCCGGGCCGGGCCGGACTCGGGCGCGCCGGGATGCGCTGCACTAGCCGGCTCTGGCGCGACAGCTAGATGCCGGCGACGCGGCGATCACGGCTGGAGCCTGGGGTTGAGCAGACGCGGAGAGGGCGGCTGGACGCTGGGGCTGCTGGGGGGCGGGAGGGGGGTGCATGCACAGCGATAGCTGCTGGATCCTGGGGTTCGCGGGCAGCGCTGCTAGATTCTTGAGGGGGGCGATACCGGAATCCGGGGATGGGGGATGCAGAGACGGCTGCTGGGATCCAGAGGACGAAGAGACGGCGCTGGGCTCCCGGGGGACAGAGTTGGCGGTGCAGCCCGTAGGTCGCGGAGACTGCGGCTGAAGTCCGGGGCCGGGGGCGGGGGCGCGCGGAGGGGGACGCAGCTACATCCTTGGGGGCCAGGAGACCACCGGCGGCAGGAGGGTGGGCTCAGCAAAGCTGACCGCCCCGTCACACCACACCCGGGGCTCCCCCAGCCGGGCTACCAGTCCTTCTCGGGCTGGGGGACCCCAAAGTCTGAAGTTGGGGCAGGGGTCGCGCTAGTCTCCGAACCTCGCCAGTCGCAGCCAGCGGAGCCGTGCGGGCGTCCAGCAGGGGGTGAGAGGCATGTCTGAGGGCGCCCCGAAATGCAGCAGCCCGGGGCCCCCCCGCGCCCCTGCGCCGCCGGGGCGCAGACAGAGCCGCGCGGCCGCGAGCCCGGACTTTACGAACTGTTGAGCAGCCGCGCGGCCGAGCTTTCCAGCGAGTTCCGACGCCGTCGCCGGCCCAGCCTTGGCCCCGCCCCTCGCCCCTCCCCCTCGCCCGCCCCCTCCCCCCGCGGGCTGTTCAGGAAATGACGTCCCGCCTGGCGAGCTTGGCGGTTGCCTGGAGACGGGGTGAAACAGTCCAGTCCGGGAAGCCAGGGGTGAAAGTGGGGGTAGGGACGTGGAGAGCCCGGCGGGGGAAGGGTGGGGGAATGAAAGGGGGTCCCTTCTAGCGCCTCTCTTCTCCAGTCTCAGACTCCAGGAAAAGAGGGAACCCCTAAAATCGTGCTTCTCCGACGATCGCTGCCTGTGCACCAGGATGACTTTAGAGCAGTTAGTTAGCCAGCCTATTAATTCACAACTGTGGAGAGGAAATTGCCAACTTTTTGTTTCTCAAAAAATAAAACAAAGCAAAAAAAAAAAAAAAAAGTCTTAAAATGTTGTAAGCCCTCCAGCACACGCACTGATGCAAGTTCAAGGGTTGATGTGGACGCTGTTGAGCACCTGCTGTGTGCCAGAGATGAAACATCAGCAGGGCAGGTCAAGATCACGCTGGACCCCTACCCAGGCTCCAGCTCCGGGAGTGGAGGTGGGGCTGGGAGGTGAGGGGACGGGAGGAAGTGTTTTCCGAAATATAAAGTGTGTACATCACACATACACACACGTGCGAATGGCTCTTTAAGGAATTCTGTAACATGCCCACCATCAGACCCCTCACCCAATCCCTTCTAGCCAAAATTGTCTCTCTCAAGCTGCTCTATACAAGCTGTGTTTTCCCACCGAAACTACTCTGGGGTTGTCACTGCGGAACCACATGACTTCCAGGGAGAGGGAGATAGGCTCTTTCCTAGAGCAGGGTGTGTAAGGGGGACCCAGCAGGAGGGACCAGAGGTTCATTTACTAATCTGATCACATCTTCCAACCACCTGTTCTGGGCTGAGTGATGGAGTGGGTGCAAGAGATCTGGGTTAGAGACCAGGACTCTGACCTCTGACCTCAGGGGACACAGATGGTGTAAACAGGTGTAAACTGGTGAAATGGGAAAAGCAGCACTGTCATGGTGGGGTGCTCAAGTCTAATGGCGCTTACTGAGGAGCTGACACCTGACTAAAGGACCCCTAACAATGACCTTGCATCTCTGGATGATAGGGAACCATGACAGAGTTCAACCCTGTTGGCTTCAAGCATTTCAAAAACATGAGGGGAGGAATTAAAACCATCATTTTCTGGAGAGCAACAATTCCTTTCACTTCCACTAAAACAGACTTAGCTGGATTTAATGCCCAGTGAATATATTGGATGAGTGCGTGAGGAAGATTTTCTTTCTTTCTTTTTGTTTTAATAGCCAGCTAGGCTCCCTTTGGACATCTGGCTATGGCTCTAGTTTTAGCAATCAATAGTATGTGTCCTTGTTCTTTTTTTTTTTTTTTTTAAAGATTTGTTTTATTTTTATTGGAAAGTCAGATCTTCTGTTCATTGATTCACTCCCCAAGTGGCCGCAATGGCCAGAGATGTGCCAATCCGAAGCCAGGACCCAGGAGCCTCCTCCAGATCTCCCACGTGGGTGCAGGGTTCCAAGGCTTTGGGCCATCCGCCGCTGCTTTCCCAGACCACAGGCAGGGAGCTGGACATGAACCGGCGCGCATATGGGATCCCAGCAAGTGAAAGGCGGGGACTTTAGCTGCTAGGCTATCACACCGGACCCCCTTGTTCTTCTTTCATGATACCATTTGACATTCACCATAAGTAAACCAACACTTAATAAAATTAATCTCCATTCCCAAAATGTATTAATGGCACACCTCAAAATGCCACCAAGCAGAGCTTAATTGTACGCACTTCAGGTTTTCTGCAAATGTATTTCATATTTAGCTTTCGTTTAGTTTGTGTTCTAATTATAGTGACTGTGATTGGCTTAATAAATGTGTCCCAAGAGCTCAGAACCGCGCTCCTATCTGTTTATTTCTGCACAGAGGATGTTTTTGAGAAGATATTTTGCCTCAGGCTGTAGAGAACCATGCTACAAGAAGTCACATTAGAAAAAGGAACAGTTTATTCTGCAAACATCAGAGACCATCTGGGATACTGCGGTATTGTTTGATTTCTTAGAGGTAGGTTTGGGAGGGCAGACACCGTGAGGGAGCGGGGAAAGAAGGGGCTGGGGCTTCTTCTGCCAGTCTAGCATAACCACCTTACGATCTGAAGGAGTTGTGTACGCTCGGATCAGAGGCTGGGCCACGGTGTTCAAACTCCAGGGATCCTATTTCATGTCTGAAGCTGTGCTCGGTGCTCAGAACTCAGCCCTGGGCAACGCAGGCTGTGAGCACCCGGCAAGGCCCCTCAAGTGCACACTTGGCCTTGCTTGCATATTCTCCCAGGCGTTCTGCGTACATCCCTTCACCTATTTTTTTTTTTTTTTTTTGCCCATGCCTCTTTATCACTCACTAAAGTGTCCTCAGGTCTGACCAACCCCTGCCCTTCCAACTGTGAATATTTTTGGAAACTTGGACACCTGGGAGCTGTTGAAGAGACAGAGAGAAGAAGCCTCAATTGTGTGTTGCTTTGTGTTAGTGCAGCCTAGACCGGCTTAGGAATGCTCTGTGTTGAACTTGGCTTTTGTTTGTTGCTTGTTTCTTTCATGTTTGTTTTGACCAAGAGGCAACATGCAGTGTTGCATCCAGAGTACTGGGCAGAAGACCACTGTCTTGGTCACAAAGCTCCCTGCGACTAGTGGTGTGACCCACAGCAAATGCCTTCACCTCCCATCTGTGAAATGGGCCTCCTAAAGAGGGGGCTGCCTCTGCCTGTGTCATTTGCTGTGCAGCCAATGAGAAGTGTGGTGCCAAATAGTGTCACAAAGTTGTTGGATATTCCTCCTCTACTTTTTTTTTTTTTTTTTTTAGAAAAGATGTTTTTATTTATTCAGAAAGCAAAGTTGAGAGGTGTGGGGCTACATTTGGCAGTTCATTCCCCCAAATAACCACAGCAGCCAGGATTGTGCTAGGCGGATGCCAGGAGCCTGAAACTCCATCCAGGTCTCCCAAAGGACTAAGGCCAACTTCCCAGGGTGCTTTCCCAGGCACATTAGCAGGGAACTGGGGCAGAAACAGAGCACTGGGGACTCAAATTGACATTCCAATATGGGATGCTGACATTAGAGGTGATTGCCTGATTGTACTGTAACATTGACTCCTAAACATCTTAATTTTAAACCACTCAATGCTCCCAATACTGCATGAAAGGGCTGCCATCATTATTGTCACCACCACCATCATCATCATCTTTCTGGTAAAGCAGAGAGAATACGCAGACAGGAAGATGACCAGATTCATGGATACATAGGTAGTTAAGAGCTGAGTTTAAATCCAGATAGTCTGGCCTCAGAGCTCTTGCTGCCAACCATGGTGCTCGGCAGCCTCCCAAATGTTTGACTTCAGTGAGCTGAACTGGCCCAGCCACCCTGCTGGGACTGGGCTGAGGGGCACGTGTTCTCCAGATAGCGGGGTTAGGGGCATCAGTTGTTCCTTAGGCTTCCTGCCTGGTAAGTTGGGGCAGAAGGCAGGGGCAGGGGGTTGTAAGGAATACACCACTGAGATGATGGAGATGGAAAGGACGTGGGGAATCTTGAGACAAAAGGAGGCAGCTCGACACTGGATGATGTAAGGAGGCTTTTCGGGCTCTGTGGTCCTTGGAGAAAGGACATTAGCAACTGAAGTTTCTGCTCAGGCGCCAGGCCCGTGATGATGGGCTGTCTGTCGGCTGCAGTGTCAGTGGGGATGGTATCAGCAGAGGAGGGAAACAGTCGCCTCCATGGCTGGTGGATAATGCAGACAATATTGATGCAAGTGCCGGGAGATAAGAGGCGCGTGAGAGAGCACGCGCGAGCGGCAGCAGAGGACACGGGCAGGTATTTATCTTGGTCAGGGTGTAATCTCCCAAGCATCTGTCTCACGGTCACAGAGAACCATGGGATTCTGTGCAGGAAGGGTGTTAGAGCACACAATTGATCCCAAGGTCCAAATCCCTTCTCTGCTATCTGCCACCATTGTGACCTTGAGTAAATTAGGAGGGCTTTTGTACCACCATTTCTTTAACTATAAAATGGGGGCATGTGAGTAAAGCCATTGCCCACAATGCCAGCATCCTATGTGGGCACCTGCATGTGTTGTCCCAGCTGCTTCACTTCTTGCTTTTTTTCTTTTAAGATTTATTTCATTTCTTTAATTGGAAAGTCAGATATACAGATAGGAGGAGAGACAGGGAGGAAGATCTTCCATCTGATGATTTCCTCCCTAAGTGGCCACAACGGCTGGAGCTGCACCGATCTGAAGCCAGGAGCCCGGAGCCTCTTCCGGGTCTCTCGCACAGACGCAGGGTCCCAAGGCTTTGGGCCATCCTTGACTGCTTTCCCAGGCCACAAGCAGGGAACTGGATGGGAAAGGGGACTGCTGGCATTAGAACCAGCACCCATGTGGGATCCCAGTGCGTGCAAGGTTAGGACTACAGCCGCTAGGCTACCATGCCAGGCCCCAGCTACTTCACTGCTAATGGCCTGGGAAACGCAGGGGAATATGGCCCAAGTGTGTGGGCCCCTGCACCCAAATGAAAGACCTGGAAGAAGTTCCTGGCTCCTGGGTTTGGCCTGGCCCAGTCCTGGATGTTGGGATAATCTGGGGAATGAACCAGCAAATGAGAGATCAGTCTTTCCCTACCTGCCACTCCCTATCCCCCACCATAATGCTGACTTTCAAATAAAAATCCAATAATGATAATACTACTACTACTAATAATAATAAATGGGGTATGGCATTATTGTGATGTGAATGTTGAGTGTGCTAACGTGTGCACCATCCATCTCAACTCCTGGTGGCTCTGCAATGCTTGACATCCATCTGTGTTAAAGCTCTGACATCTGGGAGCCCCTTTGGCACAGA